TTCTCCACGGTCCCTCCGGCGCCTCTGGGCGGGACTCTTGCTCGTCCTCCCTGGTCCTTCCCCCTTCTGTGCCTGTCGCCCCTGGCCCCGGCGCCCTCCTTTCCTGGCCAGGGCGGAGGGGGTGTTGTTTTTTCCTGGAAGGTCATAGCCGCCAGGCCCCGGGAAACCTTTTTTTGGCCCAAGCGGGCAGGCCCCGAGGCCCCCTTGCGGGTGGCGGAGAGGGGAGGTCTGGGACGTCGGGGCGGGGTTCCGGCGCCTTTCAGTGGCCGGGGAGAACAAGGCAAAAAAAACGGCTTCTTGGCCCCCCCCAAAGGTTGGCTGGAAGGATGCCCAGGGGAGTCTCTAACCCTGGGCGGGAGAAGCCCCCCTCCTCCAGGGAAGAAGAGCCCCCCAAGAAAGCCCGCGGAAAAAACCTAAAAAAAAAACTGGGGAAAAAAACAAGCCTGCGGCCAAACAAGGCGCGAAGCGGGTCGGCAGGAAGCCCGCGAAAGCGCGGAAACCGCGCGGTAAACATTCCGGGGCGTGGGGCCAAAAAAACCCAAGATGGGAAAACGGAAACAGCCCCAGCTGGGCCGCCGAAACGGGTCCCAGGAGGCTGGGCTTGCTAGCCAAAGCTGCCCCATTTGGGGCAAATTGTGCGGCCCAATTGAGTTTCACGAGAAAGAGAACTGGAGAAAAAAAAAAAAACCAACCCCCTCCCCCCCCAGCGTTTTCTAACCTTTTCCCCTGGAGAAACCCGGAAGGCATGCCCACTGGCAGGCCGGGGCCTTTGTGACGTCCCCATGGAAACTGGCGAACAGAGAAAGGGCGCGCGCCCATTTACGGAAAACCGTGGCGAGCCGGCCCCCAAGCGGGCGCGAAGAGAGAAGGCCCCAAGGCAAAAAAAGAACCTCCCTGGCTGCTGGCGGGGGCAGTGTTTGGGCCAAAAAAAAAAACAAACGATGGGGCCCTTGGTGCGGGGCCCGTTTGGGAAAAAAACTTTTGTGGGTTCCTTTCCGTGGCCAAAAGCCTTCCCCCAAAAACTGGGCGGCCCGGGGCCTGCAAGGGCTCCCAGGGGGCGCCGGGGCCAGGGCCGCGTGGGGCTGGCCTGTGTTCTGTGGCCGCCGCCCCCTTTCTGCCCATTTCAAAACAGGTTGCGGGCAGGGCCTGCTGGGGTGAGGCTTGAAGGGAACAAGAGAAACCAAAACCCGAATCCTGCCAGCTTTCCCCTCGGGGGGGAAACCTCCAAACCCCCCCTCTGCCCGCCGCCGCAAAGGGGATCGCCAAAGGCCAGGGCTGGCGTTCTGAAAGGAAGGAAAAACAACGGTTTCCAAAACCCCAACGGATTTTGGCTGGCTGCCAAACCTTATGGAAAAAAAAAAACCACCCTTATTTTTCCGGGCAAAGGCCAGGTTTTCCGTCAAAAAACTTTTTCCTTTTAAACCCAAATTGAGTAAAACCGGATCGTTCAGGCCTAAAAGGGAAGCACCCCCCCAGTCCGGCAGGTGGGGCGGGGCCGGGGCCCAGGTGGCCTGAAAAAAACCCAGCCCTGGCGTGTTCTAAAAGAAGGTGGTTTGGGGCCTCTTTGGGGCACGCACAAAACTTCTGTCACTTTTTTTTCCCTGTAAGTTTTAGGGAACTTATGACCATGGCAGAGCTGTACAACGCACATGCCACCGTAGGAGGAGGTCTTGTCTTCGACACTCAACTCGAGTTGACCTCGGCCCGCCACGGGCTCCAGTCTCCGCCCAGAGATGTACAAGCAGGCTTCGCAACTGTTCAAACAGGGCATCTGTTGTGCGCCAAATTTTACAGGACGGAGGATGAACACAGACCACAAACACAACGGCAGAACACAAGAAAAATGCAGACACAACATACAGACGGGTGACTCGAGTAATAATACACCAGGTCAGTTTATTTTTGCATACTTACAAAGATTAAAGTTAGTTCCTTGTAGTAACCACCAGGCGTGGCAGGCAATAGCCATAACTTCCGGAATGTGTAGCCTGATAAGGAAGCAGACGTATCCCCTGA